AGCACTGTCAGATGCTTTGTTCTTGAGATATATTATGATCATCCATCACTGGGGACTCACCCTGCAGTGATATATTAGTGCAACACTTGAACCTGCACTGCTTTGATGTATTACTCATCAAGATGATGTTGGCAAGCGTTGCACAAAGGGAGCATGTTTAAAAAGTATTAAGATGAATTGATTTGTTGCTTAAGATGTGTGAAAGGAAGAATAATAGCAGATTAGCTGAAGGCCTCTGCAAGCCTCCCCAAGCTGTTAAGTGTTGTATGGTGCAAAGAGATGGATGGAATTTCATCTTTCCATACCTTTCTGAAAGCTAAGCACATCAGCCTGTTTTTACCATTCTCAAGAAACACAAATTTCATTGAGTCATGTTTAGTGATGGCATGTTGTGCTGCTTTAAAAGCGCAGCCTCTGAGCACTAGCTGAGCTAGGTATGCCAGGTGAGCTTTCGTAAGTCTCCCCCCACCTTCCCCCCCTTTTTACCTTTCAGTATAACTACATCTTCTGGGAGTAGCTTTACAGAAGAATTCTTTTCCCCATGACAGACATGACAAAGCTGGCAGCACCAAGGAAATGAATCTTTACTTTAGAAATTACAGCTGAACTATAACCGCAGCATCAGTAGGTTTAGTTCTTTCTTTTCGGCCTTTTAAAAGATAGAAATGGAAAAGGTCTTTCCGACCATCCAGCCCAGTTCCTTGCCCAGGCGGGACTGTTCTGTCCAGTCTGTTTCCTTGTGGTGTTTCCACTGTGTTTGAGGTAATGGGGTTTTCATTGGTTCACTGGGTTTTTTTCCCCCATGACTTAAGAAGGTGATTAAATATTTCAAGGAGTTTATTTCTAAATTTTTTTTGGAGTCAAAATGATTGAAATAGAATTTATTTTACTACAGATAATTAGTTTTTATCTAAAATACATTCAAAGTTTCCAGTAGAAAAGGACCAGACTGTTTTGGAGTCTTTAACGTATTTATCTTCAAAACATCCCATGTGAGGGAGTGAAGTGTTGCTTATCTACCTTGCTTTTAAAATAGCAGTATATAGTTTCTAAAATGCCCAGAGTGTTTTATTTTTCTTTTGCAAATTAAGAACTGAAAGTGCTCTCTTTTGTGGCTAAAGCTGTTACAAACAATACTATTAAGGTCAAGGCCATGTTCAGACTTACTGGCATAAGAAAAACACGTGTGCCCTGCACTGGGGAATGTTTGGCTGTCAGATAAACTATATCCACCAATACCCAGTGACAATGCTATCATGTGACATATGCTTGACAATGATCTTGCACTGCAGACCGTTTAATAATTTTCATTATTTTTAATTAAGGTTGAAGAAGTGCAGACTCCAACTCCAATTAAGGTTGGTTGTGTTGCCGGAATGTGGTAATTACTTTAATTGATCACAAGATAGTTTCCTTGATCACCAATTAGATTAAATTACTGATCATGTTTCAAGACGTGAAGAAATGTCCAAACTGATTATGTAATAGTGTTTTCATATCTAATCAAACCTAAATATCTTTTCCTTCTAGAGCCACTTGTGTTTTCTAAGAGTAAGGTTATGGCTCTACAAATATAAAGGTGATTCATAAACAATACAGTTTTAATTCTTTTAATTAACATTGGAAGTATTTAGGGTCTTAATGGAGATTGCATTGTTGAAATTATTCAGCAGAGTTACTGTTCAGTTTCTTAGTGGGTGATGTGTTCTTTTTGTTTGTAAGTGAAGTAGGATATAATTAAAATGCGACTTTTGGCAAAGAAAAATTGCTTGGCGCAAAGCAGGGTTTACATGTCCTCACGTAAATATGCGTAAGTGTATATATCCACAAAGCGGTGCTTCTGGGATCCTTTTAGCTGTTAGACCACTGTATGGTCAGCCAGAAATCTCTTATTCCCATTTCCAGGCTTGAGCTCTTAAGAATGGGCAATGGGACATTCTCCACGGAGGACACTTTGCTTTGGAACTGTTCCTCACTATCCTTCAAGAAATCCCAACTCTAACTATTTTCAGGCTAACACTCGACTAAAAGGTAACGCCCTCTTTTAGGTGGCAGGCAGGCTTGATGCAAACTGTGTGGTGGGAGGGTAGGTCTGGCAAGCTACTTAATTGATGGGAATTTGTCATCAGTAGGTAAGAGAGAGAGAGCCTAGCGAATGGTTTGATTTAATGGTTCTGAAGTTTGGTTATTGGGCTGTTTGTTTTTTCCTACTTGAGTCTGGAGTGAATGGGGCGGGCATGCAACAAAATAAATATTCGGCCCAGAATATAAATTGTATGCATGTACCAACTATCCATACTGGTAGTGCATATTTAGGATTGGTTGGATTTTTCATGAGTTCCCTCCAGTTTCCCCTGCCCTGTATGTTGATCCTTTCTGGACTGAAACACTAGGTTTTTAAGTTACCCTTTTTCGGCAGTTCTTTAACTTGGTACGTTCATGTAAGTAAGACTGGTGTTATGGTGATGGGCACTCCGAAAAAAACTTTGAATAAAACATATACCTTAGAACTATTAAGAAATGTGTATATTCCAAGTTACCCTTAATGTCTGGTGTGCAGCTTACTGCTTTATGCTTTGAAGCATTTTACTGCAGTGTTTGAAATTTTTTAAACATAATTCTTCACTCCAAGTGAAATTATCTAGAGCTTCAAGGGAAGTTAGAGTTCCCAATTTTTGGAAATGCTCTTGGGTCAAAGAAAAAAGCTTTTTAATTGCTGACAGTTTGGTGATTTCCAAATGACAAACCTCGTTAGAATAATTTGCTCTGATTATAATGTTTGCATTCATCTGACTGGCAAAGCGACTTACAAAGTCATACTTCATCCAGGCACTGATCCTTTTGCTTAAAAGGTTTGTAATTTGTGAGAGGAAAAAAGGCTGAAACTATTATCAACCATTATATGTTATTTATTGACCACATGTTTGTTTGAAATGGCTGTTGCTTGATGGAAGGTGGATCATATACAACCTCTTTTATAAATTAGCACTAAAAACTACCTAAGCAGGTAGGTTTCATGTTGAGATACTAACTTAAGGCAAGTATTTTAATACAAACCAGATTATATATGGGAAGAGGAGTCTTGTTCTACAGTGTTTATTTCAGTCCTGATCCTTCCTGCTTGGACACTTACGTTTACCAAGCCCGTCGACTTCCCCAGGGCTTTGTGCAGGTCTGTATTGGCCCATTGTATGATTGTGGTCTCAATGTACATGGACACCCTAGGTTTCTTTATATAATGTAACTATTTGCTGCACATTTTTGCCAAGGACCTCTTACAGTTTTTCCTTTAACCTATGTCCTGAAGGAGTGTGCAGTGCAGAGCATTAGGGTGGGGAAATGGGAAATGTATTATTTTCTCATTTAAACCCAATACTTACGAAGAGGAGAAGCAACACCACCATCTCTTCACCCCAGCCCTCTCCCAAAAATAGTTTCACTTGGACATGATACTGGAAGTGGTCTCTGTTCCTGGGAAACACCCTTGCTCAACTGATAGTAAAGCACAATGAATGCTTTGCATAATTTGAAATGGCTGGTGGCAGGGAGGTCGGAGATCTGGTAGGGGTTAGGACTGTCTGGTGAATGCTTGAGATGCCTTTTGCATACTAACAGTGAAATAATTGCTCATCAGCTGAGTCCAAAGATAAGTCATTTTAGGTGGGATAATTTGCCAGTATCCACTGAGGCACAGAGCTCTCATAGCAGCAGGAAAGCCATCACATCCCCTTCAGGAAGGCAGTCAGGTTTGAAAAAGGGATTGCCAGTGGCCTCTTCCCACACTTTGCTGCTTTGGTGTTGTGAGCTCTAGACATTGGCAGCTATGTTTCCCCTGGTTATTGTAATTCCAGAACAACAAACAAGCTAATGCCTTCTTCTTTGGTTCTCCAGCTTGTGCCAGCTCTCCCATGATAGTGACATCTGCGCACATACTGTTCGGGAATCCAGGTCCTGCTCAGGCCAGGCCTTCTTTCCTGGTTCTTACTGTGCAAGGCTGTACACGCTTGGTGCTGTGATATATTGGCTTGTGCTGTGGCACAATGCTGTATCTTTTGGCAGAAACCTGCAAGGGGGGGACTTTTTCACGCAAACATATAATTCATTACAAAAGCCTGGTTGTGTGGTAGACTGTCTTGTGAAATCTGCGACTGGAAGTTTTTATGTTGTATCTCTCAAGTTGCCAGCTTGGTTTAAACCTGGTAGTTACCTTCCTTTTGAACTTCCTTTGCCCACTAATCTCCACCCTTAATCTAAAACGTTGTGAATACTTCTTGTTCCATGGGGCTCCTGGCTTCCTCTTGAGGTGTCTTATTCCCTTTCTAGGATGTAGTCTACTGGTCCCTTCTTCTCTCCTGCCATTCCTGATTACAGGGGTTCCCATGCAAGAGTAGTAGATTAAAAGTGTGTGGACTGCCACTGTTCAGGAAATGCCCTGGGTTGCAGAGGTATCAGTACCCCTTGGGGAGCTGAGCAGTCGGGCAGGGAGGGATGGAAGACAGAAGGGTGATATGATTTTTGCTCGATTAATTTTACAGCCTGTGCATCTGAATGTGATTCTTATTCAACAGAATATTTTGTTTGTTCTTAAGGTTTGCTTAGGTAATGCTGGTTAGAGGGAACCAAGCTTGGAATAAGTGTCACAGTGTTAATAGGACTGTGACCCTTGGCAGGAGGAAGCTGTGGTGTTATGGGTGTGCATTCCTGGAGCATGGACTGCAAGAGGAAACCAGGAGACATGTCTCTGCCATAGCAAGGGAGAGCTGAAGAGGGCAGTCCAAAGAAAGGAATTGCTTTGGCGGGGAAGCACCAAAAGATGACCCACTTCTTCAGCTCAAAGGGATGGAGATAAAGCACTGGGGGAGTAGTTTGTGCCCACTCTGGTCAATAAAATCTTGGGGTGTTGGAACACATTTATTCAGACTCATGACAGTAACTTCAGCCCAGTGTGAACAACTGACAGATGAAGAAGACTGACTTTCATTTTGTTCTTTTTATCCTAGGCTTTTGGATTTATGACACGAGTTGCTCTGCAGGCAGAAAAGATGAATCATCATCCTGAATGGTTTAATGTGTACAGTAAGGTAGTACAGAGAATCATTTCAGTTACCTTTGTAAATTTACTAGACTAGTTCATCTTACAGAACACTCCTTTCTGTCTTGCCATTTATCCTGTGCAGCTTCTGTACAGCAGAGGAGAATAGGTCCTGGAGACTGTAGAAGAATGCTTGCAGCAAAGACACAGCCCCAGGGAGGGGCAAAATAAATCAGCAGCTTGAATTTATTCTATAAGCACAGCGATCCAGTGATAACTGCTGTTTCCATTATGATAATGGAATTAACATTAAACCCGTGGGCAGTGTGTCCAAACTGCAAGTGCTTCCTACCTTTAAACTTTTGGGTTCTATAGCATGAAGAGATTCTCTGTCAGTTAGAAGTGGGCAATGAGGGCTGGGACACCAGGGTTCCTGTCTCAGATCCTTTATTCCTGGCCATGTGGCTTGGAGAAGTCTGAATCTTTCTGATCAAGATGTTTAGAAGCAGGATCTTAAAGTTAGGCTGCAAATACATGTTTTGGCCATTTAAATAAATGCTCTGACTTTCAAGACTGCTGAACACTCTCCTGCTCACCTTTGCCTCCATGGAAGTTGCTGGGTGCGTGGAGCTTCGGAAAAATCAGGCCACTTAGGGGTCTAAGCACAAGCCTGGCAACTTGCCTTGATACTTACATTTTGAATACAGTGGTCCCTGTCATTCACCATGGCAACTGACAAAAATGCTTTTTAATATATACCGAATTGACAGGGGCCTCATGAGACCAAATGTGAGGGTATAGAGAGACCCTCAAAAGATGCTGCATTGTAGGAAATGATTGCCTTCCCTTTATTTTCCAATAACTGTGGTTAATTAAGCCCTTTTTTAATTACCCTCATTGATAAATATGTTGTAAGCACACTTAAATAGAAAGAGGGAGGAATTCTATAACTATATGTAGACAGCATTGCTTGTTTTCAGCTAGGACAGAGTACTGTAGTTGTGCTTTAAGGTGAGACTGACCAGCATTGGTGTGGTCTGATCTCAAAAAAAGAAAGAAAGAAATTTCTAATGACTTCCAGCCCATTATGGTTTAATCTGTGCATCCCCCCACCTCCCAGGCTCCCATTTGGCCACCACTCCCCACAGTTCTCTTCCTGCAGTGACAGCCAGCAGTCTCCAGGCTTCCTCTCCTTTCTCCAGCTTTCGCTTTCTGCCCTGACCTCCGGCGGCTGCCTGGCACAACCTGCAGTGCTTGGGGAGCCTGTGGCCAGGGAGCTGTGGGGAGAGGAGGGAAGCCGCCTGCGTGGC